GGGCACCACGCGCCGGTTTGTTTTGCTTGGTACAACCCCCTTTTTCGTGGGGGATGCAAACATACCAACCCCCCCAAATCCCAAGCACACCCTTTTGGAAAGACAAAGGACCAAAACTAGCGGTGTCTTCGGGCAGTGGGAGGGGCCTTAGGCAAAGCTTCTCTGGTTTTTCCAGCAGCATCTGGACGTGCTGAGGCTCAGCAATGAGTGCCCAAAGAGGGTGTGGGCTATGGGAATTTTTTTGGGCGCCCTTCCTGATCGAAAGGGAACTTATCCGCAAAGGAAAACACGTGGTGCCACTCTTCGTTTTGAAAGGAACCCATCCCAGAAGAAAAAGGTGCCTGACATGCTTGTTCTACCAGGCTCCTGGCAAAAAAGTCCGACAAAGTGAGCCAGGGACAAGACATAGCTTCTGAATAGCATACTGAGTTTGTCTTTTGTATTTACAGCATGCTCATGCCAGCTGGTTCTTTAGGTGCGAACTGGATTTCGCAATCCGCAGGATTCGTTCTACGCGTGGGGCGCTCTCAACTTTAGCTCTTCCTGGGGCCTCAGGCCCGGCTGGGGTTCTCAACTCAGGTCCCATGGAAATCAGAGGGTCCTTCCGGTCTTACCCAGCGCGTCCGGTTGCCATAGTAGCCAGGAAAAGCCATGGTAAAACCAGGTCTAAAAAGAGAAAAAACCAAAGAAGAGCGAGAAGTTGCCTACAAGTTGCCTGGAAGCACCGGGCTAAGGATGGCCCTCCGCATCTTTTGGTCTAACCCTCTGAAGCACATCTCCCGAGGTGTGCTCCGAACTTGCAGAGTTTGTAGCGATACTGTTCTCTTATTGTTTCTCCGGGTCAGGCGCCAGGTGGCTCAGAATTCGATTTCACCAACCTCGAATGGACGTGTTTTTTTGAAGACACGGGTCATGTGTGGTTAAGGGTAGTTTGAGGCTGCAGCGGGCCCAAGCTGACATGGATCAACACGTAACACATGCCCCGCCCACGTTTGCGGTCGCCCACATGGGCGGCGTGGAACCTCAAAGAAGCAGCCCCCTGATGGATCCGGGGTCCGATTGCTTCATGTGAAACTGACGCTAAGCGCCCTTGTTGGCCAGCTGGACGGACATCCGGGCGCAGCTCCAAACAAGTCTTCCCGAAAGAAAAGACGTTGCTCCTTGCAAAATGTGCGCCAAGGGCCCTCACGACCAGTTTTATCATAGAAAGTAGGGGTGCCGGGCAAGGAAGTCTTAGAAGGTACTATCAACATGGGTCTCTCCTTATAAGGGTACCCGTTTTGGGCTGGTTTACAGGGACACCAAAAGAAACAAACCACTTCGTGAATTCCATATCCTCGCCCATCCCGCAGCCCATTTCGTCCCAAGCTGCTATCGGCAGCCTTCGCCGGCGCCTGATGGCTTTTGCCCGGACTGAAATTCGTGCAGACGGAAGGGAATAACTCCCGACTTGTTGGGGCATGGGCCTAGCATGGTGCAGAGGTGCGTCATAAGGGTTCTATACCGTACCAGCGGGATATAAGGGTTCTAGGGCTTCTTGAGACACTATGTTCCACCCCCATGGCACTAGACGAGCAAGTCTACCCCGAGGTCTTTTTCTTCCCCGACAGTTGTGCGGTCTTAGCCAATCTTTCGGGGACACATCTTGGTCTTGAGACATGTGGTTTAATTTTGCTCTTGTAGGCGGTAAGTGGACACTGGAATAGGTGTCTTTGTCAGTTCAGTTTGCCAAGAGATAAACGGCACCGATTTCAGTCCAGCTCTAATCATCTAGCGTCATGTATGTGGGTGTCGTTTTTTTGAGGGTACTGTTTTTTGTTTTGTTTTGTTTTTTCTCTGTGAGTTTCAAAGGGAACCCAAAAGAAAAACCATCATTTTGGGGGGTTCCCAATGCGCAAAAGATGACCTCTCGATTTGTCAGCCGTCCACTGGGCTCCCTAAATTGCACGGGGCCAGTTTTTTTTTTTTTTGTGCGGTGCCGATTGCATCGCCTTTTAGGGGGAATGCCCGGAAGGTCCTCGAGTCTTGACTGGTGGGTTGGGTGGGGCAGGAATACCAACAAGGGTCCCGAGTCTTGACAAATGGGGTAAAAACGCGCGCTGGGACCCTAGAATGGCTTCCCTTTGAACGAACTCACACAACCCCGCAGCCAACCATCCAACGAATTCCCAGTGTGGCCGCCTTGCCATGGCTCCTTTGGGTTTGTCTCCTTTTAGAGTACCCTTTGGGGCTTGGTTTTGAAGGAAACCAAAAGGAAAGCCACCCATGTTGGGGGTCCCTCTATTTTAACACAAACCACCAGTGATTTCCGTAAAGTGATCCCAGCTAATCACACTCCATCTAATTGGTCAACAGGAATTCCGTGGCAGGCCACTTCCGTCAGGAACCATCACAATAAGCAAGCCAAAAATAAGGCCTCCGTTTATTGACGGGCCAACGTGTTTTGGCCAGGCCTCAACAGTTGAGTCAGCATGGCTCGCTTCTGAGTTTCCCTGGTTGCGGGACATGTGGTGGCTGAACCAATCATGAAATGTTGGCTTCGCGTGAAGAAAGCCGAATTCCATCTTTCAACTGGGTTGCTCCCACGCCCCCCCCCCCCCGTTTCCGAGCAAAAGTCGATCTGCACGCACCGTTTCTGAGCAAATGTCTAAGGTCTCCTTTAAAAGGTCTCAGGGGCGATTACGTCGCACCGCAGCTAAGGAGCCGTCTCCCCATGCGCCTCCTTCTTCTTAGCCTCCTTCTCCTTGGGCGCCTCTGCGGGCCAATCGAAACACCGCAGTGAAGACAACTGTCCGTTTTCTGATCCCCTAAAAGTCGGGGGAAAAACCAAAAAAAAAACTCGTGGCTTAGCAATAACTGCCACGAAACCCTCAGCTGAAAGCCCCCAAAACCGGCTGCCTGGAGGTTTCCAAGCGCCATAAGCCCTCACAGAACTCTGCGGATCACGTGGAATCCGCCGCTCTGAAATCAGCAAACTTGGAAATTCCAGCTCGTGAACGAACCAAGGGATTTTTTCCCTGGGACCCCATTGCACCAAAACAGGTTGGGCTTCAAAAAGCCGAATCCTTGCGTGACTTTGAATATGAGGCTTTGTCTCAAGATGGGCTTTGGAACCCTCCAAAAAAGAAGTCGGTTCCTTGTGGTTTTCCTTTAAAGGCCCACGAACCAAAGCCTTTGGCAGCCTCAACATTTGGCACCCTTGTTTCTGTTGACCAGTCGGGCTGGGCCGGCGGACTGGGCCCACGCGTCCAGATACCCTCCCAGTGGTTGTCTGTCCTTTCCTTTGGGGTCCCTCGCTTCGTTTGGCCAAACACGTCTTAGCCTGATGCACAAAGGCATCCCACCTTGGCTTTGGTGCATTTTGCTTGGATGTTAGGACTTTAACTTGTTGCCAACTATTGGGTTCTCCGTATTAAACCACTGAAAGTTAAACTTTTAGCAGGGGAGCAGAAAGCAGATGTGCTACAGTACTTGGATCACTGAAGTCGTTTTCACTAAAATGGACTTCCCAAGTGCCACGTGCAGCCAATGGAGTGAGCTTTGGCAGCCACGCTGCCAAACGCCGGGTTGCTGGGTGCCAATGGGGGTAAGCTTGCCTCCACCGGTCGCACCAGAATGACTTGTGCCTGTGTCGTTTTTAGGATTTGGACTCCCCAAAATGGCTTCGGCCTTCCGTATGGTGTCCGTTTAAAACCATGAATAAGGGGTGCCATCAAAGAAAGTCCTTCATACTATAGACCCTCCTTTACAAATACTATTTGTTCAATGACTGCTTGGAGTCGTTCACTTCAACTGCAATCACTGGCTTCAGCAATTCTTGTTGGCCTGGAAAGCGCAGGGCGGCACTTCAATCATACAGTGGATGTCGAACATATTGCCAGCCAACAAGAAAACCCTGAACTTCACGTAGCTCCACCATGGCCCACCCGCGGTGTCTGACCCCGGTTGCTTTGCGCGCCTTTTCTGGGCCTGGCCGAGGCATGTAGCAACCGCTCGCGGCACGAGGCAGCTAAGCAAATATGTCTCAAAGACTACCATGTCCTTACAACTCTTGGTAGCTCCTTAGCTCCTCCTTTAAAGGCAACTTCGGATACCCCTGGCTCCTTGGCTCCCTTCACAAACCAGTTTTTCTTGAGACAAACATGGAAGCCGCACATCAAAGCACGAGAGGCCCCCTTGTGCCTAGCCACTTACCTAGTTCAGCTTCAGTGGTGGTTTGGATTGGTGGTTTGGTGGTTAAGACCAGGGGTTCAAATCCCAAACCATCCATTCGGAGGTACCAAACCAGTGAGCCCTTGGTGTCGATCCCGTTTGGAAAACTCGCCAAGAGCAGCCAGCCTGCCGCTCAGTTCAAATTTTCCTGCAAAACACTTGTTGTTGTGTTTTTTTTTTGTTTTTTGTTTTTTTATGCGCAAGCGGCCCGGTAACTCAATTGTCGCAAACACGATACATCAGACCTTGGGCTCTTTCAGCCTTGGGGCCACATTCATGACCCTAGAAAGAACTAAGCCACAAACATGGCTTGCAATTCCCTTTATATTCCTGGGAAGTTCTAACCTGACAAGGCAGTGAGCCACTTACTGCAAACCGATTCGGGTAGATGAAGTTTGGTAAGGCAAAGGCCAAACCATGAATAGATGCGGCCGCCGTTTTTTAGTTCCCGAAGCATGGTTCTGGGTAGACCATTTTAATACCGATCGGCTTTGATTCGGACTCGAGTGCACCCCCGAAAACCGGCTAGGAGGCATGGTGGGAAACCATCCTTGCCATACCAACTGGCTCATTTTTTATGATGATCTTGTCACTTTGAGAATTTCCTTGGTATTGCAGAAACTGCCTCAAGGCTCCGACGTTGTTCCTTTTTGATGTTATTTCGAGAAACCAGTTATTTGTGGTTTGACATTGTTTTGGTTAATTTTCCGTGTTTTTTTCTCCCTGAGCAAGAGGTCTCACTGCCCACTGCCTGAAACGAGATGCAGTCGCGCCCATTTCGTCCGCGCCTTTGTCGTCGGCCTTCGTAGGCGTCTCCTCACACGGCAGGGAACACTTGCGCACGGGATGGCTTTGCCCCGGCCACATCTAGGTCCCGCAGTAGAGAGGTTAGAATAAGGGTACCCCTTTTTTCCGTAGTCTATTTTAGTAGGGGAACCACCCTCCCCAAAAAAGGGTAAAAGGGCACTACTGGGGGCCTAGACGTACTCCGAGTTTTTACTGGGGCCAAAACACGTAAAGCTATGTGGAGCTATGTATGTTAGGTTTATGCGAATGGGTCTGTCTGAAAGGGCAACCCCAAAATGGTTCGGCTTCCTTCAACCCCAAAAGGACACCCTTAAACAACAAACACAAATAAACAAACAAGCAAGCAAGCAAGCAAACAAACAAACAGACAAACAAACAAGCAAGCAAACAAACAAACAGACAGACAAACAAACAAGCAAACCCACACACCCACCCACCCACCCACCCACCCACCCACCCACCCACCCACCCACCCACCCACCCACCCACCCACCCACCCACCCACCCACGGACGGACGCACGCACGCACGCACGCACGCACGCACGCACCAGCCCCCGATGACACCCACAGAAACCCATCATAATCCAGTCCAGAACCTCCATGTTCACCGTTTCGCAAGGTAACGAGGGAAACTCGGCGGGCAATTCTCAAACTAAGGTTTCAGGAGTATGTGAAAAAAAGGGGCTAAACATGGCTGAAGTTTGGATGCATTTCAGAAGCACCAAAAGGGAAGATTTGCTGCAAAGGGTCCGACTCATTCTGAGGTTCGGTCAAATCTCAAAATCAGCGAATCAGCTTTGTGACCATGGCAATATGGAAATAATGCAGGTGGCCACTTACATTACGATGTATAAGTCCTTGTTAGAAACAGATGTGCCACGCTCCTCACGTTAGTTAGACTGAAAGGCAAACCGCCGAAAGACCACCACCCCATTTTTGAGGTTCCCCATTTTCGGACCACTCAACCCCCCCAACTCCAACCCTCCAAGCAGACGGCCTTCTTCTTGGGCTTTGGCGCAGCCGGCGCGGGTTCAGCCTCACGCATGAAGGAATTCTGCATCTCTCGCAGATTGGAAAACCTTCAAAGGTTTGCTCCTGGGCAATAAAGTCAGAAACTAAAGTCAAAGTCAGAACGTGGGGTTGTTCCGGTGACTTTGTGGCACAATGCGGCCATTCGGTGTGGCGTTTTTTGTCTTGCGTCTTTTTCGGTTTTTGGTGGCGGAAAGCAAACATGCCTGGGTTGGTTGGATCAAAGGGTTTTGCCAAAATCGACACCGCGGCGTTGTCATGCTTTTTTTTTTGTGGCGGGACCACCAAAACAAAACGCTGAGATAACCCCAGAGACAAAGAGTTTACTGGCAATCGGAGGGTGGACGTCGCTTGGTAAGCCACGTTCCGCCCTTTTAATTCTGTACCGTGGGTTGGTGGTTGTTCTGTTGTGTTGGTTTCCCTTCTTCAATCCAAGCCAAGAAAGGCTAGACTTCCTTGCTTGGTTTTGAGTGTGACTTGACGGTGTTGGGTAGCCTTACGTAGGGTCGCCTTCGGCTACATAGGGTAGGCGCCTTCGATTACATAGGGTAGCCTTCGGTTGATACAGCTGTTCTGGATCCCTCTAAGCTGACAAATGCACTGGGGGTGGTTTCCCTTTGAACCACGTCGGGGTCGACCATCTTCATCATCTTCTTTTCCAGCTGCAGAGGGTATTCTCGCTCGTGCCCACGCCAGCATGCATGACCCAAAACGAGTCTGTAGCTTTTTCGTTTGTAAGCACCCCTTTCCCCAAAAAAACTAACTGCGGCCCCCCTTCCCCCCATTCAAATCTTTTCTACAACCTGCCCCCCCCCAGAAAAAAAAAAAAGAAGAAACACAAAAAAGGACATTCAGGGCCCACACAGCCGTCCCGCTACAGGAAAACCCGGCCTAATGCCTGACTGATTGCAGGTCAAGCATGATTTATTTCTACAACCATATTCTTGGCCAAGGGCCAAACTGTATGGTACCAAAGGTTGACCATACAGTGGGTTTCTGTTTGGAGCATCCGTCTTGAACCTTATCGTTGAAAAATCGGCTTCATCCTCGGCAGTCATGGTGCCTTGAAATGCTCTCCCTTTGCAAACGAGAGCTGGGATTCGACGTCAGTTCCTCTGCACTTTGCAGCTTCATCAGCTTGGATCTTCAGGGCGGTAGCTCTGGCGAGATGCAAGTAGCGCTGCGTAGAGACAGATCTAGTGTTATCAAAGGCGGTTGTGTCTTTTTGTAAGGGTACCCTTTCGGGGTTGCTTGAAAGGGAAATCAAAGGAATCCGCATTTTTTTCGGGGCCCCCCCAATTTTACGACCAGAAACCACAAGAAACAAGGCCCACTTCAGATCGTCCCTTTGTTTGCTTGGTTGTCTGGACCAGTCTGGCGGATTCCGAGGACCCTGACTTCAGACGCCTCCAAGGCTCCGGCCTCAACCTTCCGCTTCTTGGGGGAAGCTGGCGCCTGGCGGAGACGGTTTAGACGAGCGCCTTGGGTCCAACTTGGGGGCGGGTTGGTTCGCGTTTTTGCGGCGAGCGCCGGCCAAACCCAAATTTGGAGAAAAGGGAGGGTTTGGTCTCAAACCTGGGGGCTCCTTGTCCAAGCCAGGGGCTTTTGCAGCATGCAAGCCATCTGGAGGTCAAGCATTTCCTTGCGCCAAAAAGCGCCAGGGCCATGACGTTTAAGAGACCTGGGGAAGCAAAAGCTCAAGGGGGGGAGGGTTTCCGTGGGTGTGTGTGTGTGTGTACGGTGGATGCTCCGCAGCTCACCTTTTTGTGGCCCGTGACAGAGGGAAACTCTCAAACAAACTTCGCCCCAGGCAATGTAAAACAAACTCAGCGAAAAGGAACACCTTGCACATATGAAAACCAATCTGCTCATCGCGCGCTACCCCCCTCCCCCCCAACGTCGACCATTTTGCTGGTTTCAATGGTATTTGCGGCGCGTTATGCCTGTTTTTGTGGTTTGGGGAAAGAAGCAAAGAAAGGTGCCATATTCAAATCTTTTAGATGGGAAAGGAAGTCCTCTTTAAGATCTAATTTGAAGTAAGCATTACAACTAAACATAGTCTTCCAAGTACATCATCTTTAAACCTAGACATTCTATTGGGATGTTTCACTGTTAATGTCTGTCGAAATTCACTGGACATCTCAATCCTAGAAAAAGACCCGCTTGAAAGGCAAATTGGAAGTAATAATTCCAATTATGAACATGTTTTTAAAACTAGGCACTCTACTAGAAATATGTCTTTATTTAATGTCTGATCCAGAAATACAACCAGAGCATGATTTAAATCCCAATTCCAAATTCGATTTGGAAAGGGCGCCTATTTGCATTCTCTTTAAACTAGACATAGTGCTAGAGTTATTTTCTCACTAATACACTGTGAGTGAGTGTCGAACATACAACCAGATGCAGGAAATGCTGCGCCTGCCACGAAATTCGCCAGCCATCTCCAAAGTTTGCTGCGCCTGCCACGCAAAACGGGGCCCTCAGCCGCGCGCTCGGCAACATCCAGTCCCATGCCACGCAAACGCACCAAAAACATCCTGTCCCTTTACACAGCTACCAAACTGCTGCCCATGCCACACAAACGTACACCCAGATGCAGGAAATGCTGCGCCTGCCACGAAATTTGCGAGCCATCTCCAAAGCGCTGTACCTTGCGACGGGGCCCCCAGCCGCAACAACATCGCCACCCTTGACCTGTGCCCACACACACATATACCCTTCATGGGAGGTGATGCTAGCGGCCATCCGTTGCATGGCCAGGCCCACCGGGGATTCATGGCTTGCAAAGTTACTGACCTCAAGCATTGCGATCACTTCATTTGCCTACATGTTCGATGATGTGTTGTCAGTTGAACAGTTGCACCGCTGCCAAGTCGCCTGTCGTTGTGCCCTTGGGCACCGGTGGTGTGGGCATCATTCCCTTGACATTGCGCATCGGCTTGCCGAGCACCATCCTGAGCTGTGTCGGGCAAGGTCCTGGCGCTGTAAATCTCTGAGTGCTTCGCGCTAGTGTATTTGGCCATGTGATTGTGGCACAGCGCCATCTCCCTGCGGGTGCCAACCACCCAATTGATCATCAAACTGGCCTCATCTGCATGCATCAACGCCGACACTGGATGGCGCGACAGGTCTTGCCCGATCTTGCTGCTCCACCACTGGCCCCTCGGCTTGTGTGATGGTGAAGGCACTTGGGTAGCAACCACCAGAGCGGTTTTGCCGGCTCCTTGTGCGTCCCCCCCCACTGCCTGCGCAAGATGCCGTCTTGTCATCATGAGGCCTCGCCTCCATCTGCTTCAAGAGAGCTTGTGTGTCTGCTGTGAAGCAGAACGGATTGACAAGCCGCCTGTCTTCCAAAGCATGTCCTGAATAATAGATTAGTATACCATTAATATTGATACTATTAAAACGAGTAATAATAATATCAATAATATCAATAATATCAATAACCTCAATAATATCAACAATAAGAATAAATAAGAATAAATAATAATACTAATAATAATAATAATAATAATAATAATATTAAAAATAATATTAATAATAATAAGGACAACAATAATAATATATAAAAAAAAAAATATTAATAGTAGTGCGAATAATATTAATAATATTAATAGCTATAATAATGTTACTAATAATATATATAATAATAATATTAGTAATATTAACAATATGTAAGCTAAAAGTAATAATAATATTAAAATACTAACACAATATTAATAATATTAATATGATTAATAATACTAGTATTAATATGAAAAACAATGATAAAATGAAATAATACTCAATAGTAATAGATGTATAATATTAATAATATAAATAATATTAATAATATTAATAATATTAATACACTACTAATACTAATAATAATACTAGTAATAATAATAATATTAATGATATTAAGAATAATCGTGCAAATTAGTCGTGGGTACGTTTTCTTGAGTCGTGGGTACGAAAAAGTAGTCGGTGCTACACCCTCTTCTCCGCCGCGGACTCCTCGCAAGCCATCTGGGCCGAAATGCGCTTGAGCTGCCCCGGCAACAACAAAAAGAACATGCAAGAAGCAACACGAAAGGCCCGCTGGGGCAGGAGCCTGTTTGGCTTCGGGGAACACGAAAACATCCCCCCCCCCCTCGCAGGGCCGGCCTGCAGCAGGATTTTGGCGAACACGAAAACATCCCCCTGCCAAACAAACACCGCACCGCCCCCCCAAGTCATGAAAACGTGGAAACGAGCGCAGAATCAAAGTGTACCCATATATATATATAATATTGTATAGATGTACATCTATCTGTATATATTTTTATATGTGTTTATGTTGTCTTTATATATATATATATTATAGCAGCAATTCCTTCGACGGTCGAGCGGCAACTTTCGAATCGCGCCTTGGCCTTCTGGGGTTTCTCCCTCTCGCCTATCGCAAGCCGATTTTTGGTCGCGCGAGGCGCACGAGTCGAAGGGCCGACCCGCAAAACCGTCTGCCTGGTTCATGATTTTGAGTCCGAGAAAAAGAGGGTCAAAGTCAGAAACTGGTCAAAGTCGGAAACTGGGTCCAAGTAAGTCAGAACCTGGAACTGGCGGTGTTTTCCCTTTGGCACTGAACCTCTGCTGACTTTGACACTGGATGCCTCCGGGCTCATGTTGGTTCGGTGGGCGGGCGGGCGGGCGGGGCGTGCTGGTTCAGGTTCGGTACCGCTGGTTCGTTCGTTGGAAAACCAACAGGAATTTCCTCGTCGGGTCATCTTGACGTGCTTTGACGTGGGCATGTCTCTTTGTTTAGGAATCGGTCAACCCAAAGAGGCAAACCAGCTTTCCTTTTCATTTTCTCTTACCGCAAATCAAGCTGGGCCGTTGGTGTTCCTATACCAAAATCAAGCTGGGCCGCCCTTGCTAAAAGTGTCACTTTTGGTGGGTTCCCCAAAAAACCTCAAAAGGCTTACTGAACCGGACGGCTGAAGGCCGCCGAGCAAGGGGTACCAACTCCAAAAAGGACACGCCACCCACGAGCCATCCGGGGCCCCGGCGCGGGGGACTTTCGCTGGCCTCACCTCGAGTTGACGGCAGGGCATGCAGGAGTCCTGCTTGCTTCAACCAACGAAACAACAAAAACACAGCCCTTGACGGACGAGAAGGTAAGGTTCTGGAAAACCCTGGTTGAGTGATGGTCTACTATCCACAAGTCTGCTGCACTGTTCCCCAAGCATTGCGAGTGAAGCAAGCGCAACACACGGCAAATTACCGGGTGTCCAACGTTTCCTTTGCAACTTTTCGGGAATCCACCTATGGGCGGGCTTCTTTGAGGATACCCTTTCAGTTTGGCTTCAAGGGGAACCAACAGGAAACCACCCATTTTGGGGGTCCCTATTTTGACCTGTATAGCCAAATGGAGTTTCTTCCCAACAACAGGTGCGTGTGGTGGATGGTGTCCATCCACAGTAGGAACCTGCGCAAATTTGAGAATACTTGCTTCTTGTGGCAGCAGCCTCCCAAATTCCAAGCAATCGACGTCTCAAACGCAACGCACCACAACTTTCTTCGGCTGGCCCCAGCTGGGCCAGAACAAAGGGAACCCAATTTGCAGATGTCTGCCACCCTCCCATTTGCAAGTTGCCACTCTCATTTGACTGATTTTGAATTGCCGAAAGCCCATATTTGGGCCTCGAATGATTCCTTTTCAAGAGGTTCCCCAAAACGGTCCCTAGTGTTGTCACAGTACGAAGCCCATACTCAAATCAAACACTTTCCAGCCTCTGCCTCCCGATTTTTTCCTTCCGAGCGCCACACGTCTTCGCCCTCGGAACATGCACATATGCAGTGACCATAGTGACCCAATGATCTTGGGGCCCTAAGCAGTCGGCTTTGCCAGAACTCAGCCATAAATAGATTAACCCACAAACCAGGGGCGCATTCCAGTTGTATGGCCATGAAGTTCAAAACTGGGAACCCTTTGGTGGACATCATTTGCGACACATGCCCACCAGCCACTTCAGAGAACATGCAATTCAGATTTCACACGCGCCCTTTGTAAGGGGAACGGGCGTTCGGCCACGAAGCTCAACACGTCCAAGGCGCAACGTCGTTTGCATCTCCAACAAGAGGTTAGCCCACTCTGCGGGTTTTCCAAGGTATGCGGATTGCACAAAGGCGGGATGCTGCTGATGCAGGTAATGTCCATGACCCTTTGCACATTCAGGTCACCTAGCCATTTTTTCACACTGTTACCCATTCAAGTTCAAAAACCATGTCATAACCTGGGGGGGGTGGGGGGTGGATCTCACATAACCAGCGGGCGACGATCAAGCTGGAGACCTTGCTAAAACCTCACTGAAGTGAGGTTCATGCCCACCAGCCGCGTTTGACTAGGTCCTCCAGCAGAGGGCTTAGAAATAAGGGTACCAACTTTTTGCTGTAGCCTATTTTACTAGGGGTACTGGGGGACCTAGTTGAGTCCAGAGTGGTTGGCGGGCATGAACCCGCTTAAACGTGTCTACCAATTGGGCCGGTTCTCCGACTGAAACTCATCTTCTTGCCATTTGAATTCTCTTCCGATACTGTCGGGAGAAGGCAACTGCTTCAACACCTCCACCCAACCGAGAGTACTTTCACACATGCCCAAACATCCCGCACGGATGCAAGGAAGTGAAAGCAGAAGGAGAGTGACGAAATCCGAGAAAGTTTTCCCTCGTCAGGACTCAACCAGGAATCTAGTCATGTGGGTCTCAGACCCTCAGCAAAAGCAGGCATGATGAACTCAAATACCGTCTTCACAACAAGCGTCATCTGCTACAGCCGCTAAAGAGAGGTCGCCCCCTTGATGGAGACATCTACATAAGCACGCTCTAGACGGATCGCGGTTCCGGCTGACATTTTAAAACCCGTCTGGTGGCAATTCGACAAGTGGCGCCCCTGTGTCACTCCGCCAAACCCAGCAAGCAACAGTAGCTACGGTGGAAGCAACTCTTGCCTCTGCAAATTCGCAGAGTTACACATGTGGCATTCTCTGTCACATCAGTTGGATTAGCTTCTGTTTCTGTTTCCGTGGATTGACCTGTTGACCTCAGGGAATGAGGGAACCCCAAGAACAACCCTCCAACTGGTGCTTTCCTTTCAAGAAATCCCCAAATTCATTCCCAACTTTTTAACCCCCTGGGGCATTTTTTCCCTATCGCAGAAAGTTCAGGATTCCCATTCGTGTGGGTTTTTTGTCGGGTTTTGTTCTGTCAGCCTTCCTTTTTCTTGTGCTGTTGCCCCCAGACCCTAAGCAAATCTTGGCGTAATTGTGACACACACACACACAGTCGTGTTTTTTTTTGGGGGGGGGATCACGGGAAACCAAAACGAAACCCGCTGTCTTGATGATCCCCTGAGTTGGCACACTCACACATGTCTAACCCCAAAAGTTCAAAAGATAAACCGGCTTTCTCTAAGGACCCGATCGGAAACGCACGGCATTAGAGGGAAACAAGAGGACTCCAAACAGTTTTGGGCAGGGGATTCCCCCTGTGGATGGACGAAATCCATTTCGCACCACCTAAGAAACCCTGGAATGAAGATTCCCCTGTAAACACCAACAAACAATGGTGTTCCATGGCTTCACAGTGGTGCAGGATTTCGTCCATCCACTGTATTAATGGTCGGGTTCCTTTTGGGTTTCCTTTAAAGCCACCAAAGGAGGTACCATCAAAACAAGACACACCCTTTGGTACCCTTTGTGCTTCGGACTCTTTGTGTAACTCGGACGATCCGACCAAAAACCAGCCATGCGTCTGGGGGTACCCTCCCCATTCTTTCCAGGGATCCGAATCTTTCTAAATACTCGCCCACAAGAAACCCAAGGAAAACCCCCGGTTTGAAAAAAAAAAACTATGGTTGAAAAGAATGGACAAGGAATCAAACCCTAGCATGCGCGCTTCCCGCCCCCCCCCCCCCCAAAAAAAAAAAAAAAAGCCCTGCCGCAGAGCCGCGCGGCGCCGAGCTCTCACTGTCCGCTCCTCGGCGACAAGGCACCCGCTGCATGAAAGGGAACCAAAGAGCAAAACGAGGTTGGTAAGGCCTACATAGCGGCTGCCATATTTCAGGAAACGCCCAAATAGGCTTTCTCAGGTCTGGCTGCTTCATTAGCCGCAGAGTCCCGCCGGGAGTTTGGTGCACAGGCCGCAGAGTGTTCCTTGGTGGGAAGGTACTCATTGGAAATCTATTCACTAAGAACAGACTATCAGTTGCAAGAGGCTAGGATGTGTCGGAGGTTGGCGTTTGTTGGGAGGGTAAATACTCTGAAACCCATGAAAGAGTTGGGGTTTCCCCCAACCGCGTGGTCGTCTTTGCGGCTCGTGTGCAAGAGTTGCTTCCACCACCACCCCCTGGCCCCCGTTGCAAGGGAACCAAAAGGGCGGATCGCGATGTTCGGGGGAGAAAACAAAAACTTCTTTGGTGGAGTTCACTGGGCTGTCCTCGGATCCCCAAAACTCGCAAACTTTTAGTGGCTTAGTGCCAAAGGAGCTGGCTGAAGGAACCACCGCTGGTTAAAGGGAAACCAAAAGGAAAACCGTTTTGTCATTTTGGGGCTCCGCTTCCAAAAAAAGGGACGAACCCAAAAGATGCTGGTTGAACCATCGTGGTTTCACGGGCTTGGCCCAGCCTTGCCTGGGCAACATGACCAATTAGTTGGCCGAAGGTGAAGGGATCCCTTCAAATGGTGAGCCAATAAGCCAGAAGCACGAAAAAATAACCAAGATGGGAACGGTTGCAGAACCCATTTTGCGGGTATTGTTGAGCGCAGATTCATCAACCCCAGTATTCCTAGCTTTCTTTGCTTCGGGGGCAAGGGGGGGGAGGGTCCCTGGGGTGGAGAAGCATCACTTTTGGAGGGGAACACCCCAACAACCGGACTCATGATTTCACCATGATCAAAGTCACCCCCTAAGTGGTGGGTGAAAGGGAAACAACCGATTCCATTTTCTGAAAAGACTTTGATAACTTCCAGAAACCGTCAAACCGTCGAAATCATGACACCGGAATAAAAACGACGGGCGAAACAGGGGCTCCCTGCTGGCTCGCCGGCGCGGGCTAGGTCTGTCGCCTCAGGCGATTCGGATAGGTTTGCCATCGGGTTCCACAAAGGGAAATGGCTTGGAGGCTCCAATGATGGGGGCTGGGAGGGAGGGAGGGAGGGAGGGGAGGGGAGGGGAGGGGAGGGGAGGGGAAAAATGGTTGAAAGGTTGATTGTAGGGCAGGGGTTTTGACATTGAGAGTATAGTTTTACCACATTGCCTCTCAACCTCCTATCGTGCCTGTTCTGTTTTATCATCAAAATTTGGTCTATCCTCCTTTTCAAGGTTGGTTTTGGGGACTAAATTATTTACATTTTTTTCGTTTTCAATAAGTCAAGCAATGGCAACCTTATTCACTTTTTCTAAGTTTTCAATGTGGTCAACAACATCGCCTCATTCGTTTTAAAAAACCCCAGAATTTTCAAAATATCTGAAAAAAGAGTATTGTTTAACCTTATTCATTTGTCAAAAACCTCACCCCACAAAATAGTATTATAACTGATGACGAACTCTATAAAAATTAGTTTTAATCACATTATACTGAAATAATATCATTAAACACAATCACCACCAATCATTGTCATATATTCAAGCCGTTCATAAATATCATTTACTGGTTCTACATTTGACTTTTTTTCTGTCTTTGGTTCTTCTGTCTTTGTTTCTTCCTTAACAGTTATAAAAGTGTCCTTGTGTCGCTTTGTTCTTTCGTGCCTCGCTTTATTCTGAAGTCCTATCATTATTTTACAGCAAGGACATTCATATTGCGTATGTTTAGTTTCCTTTTCATTTGTTGTATTATGTTCCTCCATATACTCTATCTCCATACTCTTTTAACTATTTTTCTCAACATTTTTTACATTTTTTTCATTTAATAACAGTCTAAGATATTGACATTTTCAAGGTTTGGGTTTCAGACAATTTTATGGCTTTCTGGGGGGATACAGGTGTTTAATCATATTATAAGTTGATAATATGAATAAACCAATAATATTGCTTAGGGTTACACGGGTTTCCGTGCAAGGTATCACGGGTTTCCGTGCAAGGTATCACGGGTTTCCGTGCAAGGTATCACGGGTTTCCGTGCAAGGTATCACGGGCTTCTGTGATGGGATGAAAGTGTTTTTAGTTGCTATTTAAAAGGTCAGTTTTGAGGTGTACTCCCAAACTCTTTTGGACTGTTCCCTAAAACCTCACATCAACAACACCCACAACCTCAATCCCAGACCCACCAGCAACCCGCCCCCAAAAAGGACTTAAAGAGAAAATACCTTATATAGTATAGAGAAATGGCAGGGGAATACAGCACGGGTTCAGTAATTGAATATCTAATATCCAATAATGAAGGTCAAATAACAACAGGGAAGAATAACAAACCATTGAAAAAACTAATCATCAACAACAAAGAATACTATTACAACAAAGACAAACCATTATCCTCATCACTTCAAAACAAACTCAATCAAGTCAGCAACACACAAGGTTTCAAACGATTTCATCTTCTAAAAAAAGCATCAAACACAATGAGAGGCATTAAAACAATCCAGAAATACAGATTAAGAATAGGAGCAAAAACATCAGAGACATTTTCAGCATTGAAAGGGTACGCCAACACATATTCAATATCCAACATACCATTCAAGGGATACAAAGGACTAACATATCTTTTATGGCAAGAAAAGAAACTAACAGAGTCTTTACAACAAGCAAAATCAATGAAACTACTGATTGATGTTGAGGTTATTTTTGCTAAAGTTAGACAGCAAGAAGAGGATGATGGAGAAGATGAACCAATTGAGGAAAATATACAAATAAAACACAATATGAGGAGTAGGAGATACAACATTTTGAATGTAGGAGACTTGAAAAAAGCCTTGGAAAATATGCCTAAAGATATTGAACTACAAATTGAAAACTCACCTTTGAAACATTCAGGATTGAAGATTAATAAGATTAACAAAATCACCATCCACTACGACAAATACAATCCAAACAGAGCAGGTAAATATATGGAACTACCAGAATGGATTTCAAAGAAAAAAGCATGTATCAACATTCAAAATTATGATGAATTATGTTTTAAATATTGTGTTTTATGTAAATTTTATGAAGTCTTCAAGAAAGACCATCCACAACATATGAGAAACTACAAGAAATTAATAACTACTGAAAGTCTAATTAAATGGGATGGTGTAAATTTTCCAGCATCCAATGATGACATAGACCATTTTGAAGAAATCAATAACAAATCTATATCAGTTAATGTTTATGTTGAAGATGAGAACCAAACCATCAGAGCAGACAGAATAACAAAAATTGAAAGACCATCTTGTCATATTAACTTATTGCGGATTGAAAATAATAATAATGAACACTATGTTTTAATAAAAGACTTTAGTAGATTAGCAGGAAGACAAACAAACAAAACAACTAAAAAAATGTTCTTTTGTAGTTTTTGTCAGCACGGTTTCAAGTCAGAAAAACTTTTAAATTCTCACTTAATAAAAGGTTGTATGGCAAATGACATTCAACAAACAAAAATGCCAGAAGAAGGAACATCAATGAAGTTTGAAAAGCATTTTAAGAAACTGAAATCACCATTTGTTATTTACGGTGATTTTGAATGTTTAACAACAGAAACATCAGATGGAATAAAGGGAACATACCAAAATCATAAACCCAGCGGTTATATGCTTAACCTTGTTAATGCTTACAGTGGAGAAATGAAACCATTTTTATATTGAGGCGAAGATTGTATTGATAAATTGTGTGAAACATTAAACAATATCAGAGACGATGTAATGGAACAAGCGAAAAAAAAAAAAAGATATGATTATGTCAGATTTAGATGAAATTAAACATTTAGAAGCTAAAAAGTGTTTCTTATGCAATGATAATTTCAACAACAAAGTAGAAGCGAAAAAGAAAGTTGCTGACCATTGCCACTTTACTGGATTATACAGAGGAGCAGCACATATGAAATGCAATATAGACTATTGTTTTAAAAAATATCATATACCAGTATTCTTTCACAATCTTAAAAACTATGATGCTCACCTAATAATTTCTAATCTTGAAAAGCTAAACACAACGAAAGAAAGCATATCAGTAATAGCACAGAACAGTGAGAAGTTTATTACATTTTCATTAAACAGACTTGAATTTAAGGATAGTTTCAGTTTCTTGTCATCGTCATTAGATACACTTGTTAAATTAACAAAATATGAAGATAATACATTGAGGGACAACTGGCAGGAAAATTTCAAATACAGTTTCAAAGGCAAATACATTAAAAACGAAAAATATTATTTTTACTGACAGAAAAGGGAGTTTATCCTTATGACTATTGTAATGACTTCAATAAATTTAATGACACTGAACTACCAGAAAAGAAACATTTTTATAGTAGATTAAGTGAAGAAGATATAAGCGATGCTGACTATGAAAGAGCAAAACTAATATGGAGGCACTTTAACATCAAAAACCTCGGTGAATATCACGATTTATATTTGGAAACCGATGTGTTATTATTAACCGATGTATATGAAAATTTCAGAAAACAATATCTAACAGATTATGAATTAGACCCCGCCCATTATTACACATTGCCTAACTTTGCTTGGGGCGCGATGCTATTAAAAACAGGAATTGAACTTGAACTTTTACACGATGAAGAAGTTTATAAAATGATAGAGCAAGGACTAAGAGGTGGTATGTGTCAGGTTTCAATGAGAAAAGCAACTGCTAATAATAAGTATATGGGAGATACTTATGATGCAACAAAACCAACGTCCTATATCAATTATTTAGATGCTAATAATCTTTATGGACTGGCAATGTGTAAGAAACTACCATACAAGAAAATAAGATTTGTAAAAGATAATTTCACAGAAGAAGACATTAACTATCACGACAGTAATTACAGCAGCAAAGGTTATATTTTAGATGTTGATTTAGAATATCCGAAAGAATGCCACGACAAGCATACTGATTATCCATTAGCACCAGAAATTATGAGTGTATCAGCAGATATGCTTAGTGATTATCAGAAAGAAACCTACAAAGCATATCATTTTAATCATGCTCCAAAAGATGAGAAAACAAACAAATTAATATTAAATGTTATGGACAAACAAAATTATGTGTTACATATTGATATATTAAAATTCTATTTGAAACAAGGACTTAAAATCAAGAAAATAAACAGAGTAATAGAATTTAGACACAAGCAATGGTTGAAACCGTGGATTGACTTTAACACTGAGAAACGAAAGAACGCTACAAGCGACTTTTCAAAAGATATGTACAAATTAATGAACAACGCTGTATACGGCAAGACTATGGAAAATGTTAGAGAACACATTGACTTTGAGCTGGTTGATACACCTGAACGCTACCAAAAATGTGTGAATAATCCAAATTTCAAATACAGACATATCATCAATGAAAATCTTATAGGAGTTGAAAAAGCAAAAAGTGTAGTTAGATTGAATAAACCAATGTATGTAGGAATGAGTATTTTAGATTTATCAAAACAACATATGTATTCATTTTACTATGACATTATGAAACCGAAATATAAAAATAATATCAGAATGTTATATACTGATACTGACAGTTTCGTATTACATAATAAAACCGAAGATGTATATGATGACTTTAATGACATTAAGGATTATATGGATTTCAGTGGTTATGACCCTAAACACAAATGTTATGATAAAACAAACAAAAATAAACTTGGTTGCTTTAAGGATGAAGCCGACGGCAAGATTATAACAAACTTTATAGCATTGAAACCTAAATCATACTGTTTCAAAATTCATAATGAATCAAAAGAAGAGAAGAAAAGCAATGGACTAGTTAAACATAAAGTGAAGAAGGAACTGTCATATAATTCTTATGATGACACACTCAAAAACAATAGTTGCGACACTATAACATTGAACAGCATAACAAGTAAAGCACATCAAGTATACAGCATCCAACAAACAAAACAATCGCTTAGTGCCTATGAGAATAAGAGATG